CTTCCGAATAATACGCTTCTGATTAGAGCAAAAGGCAAGGCACAATTTTGTAAGCATAAGCAGAAGAATTCCAAAGAACAGGTTTTCAACTAAAGAAAGCATTAATCCTGATTAGGCAGCCACAGATATTATGCTAAGCAGAGCACTTTTTGCCCATCCCAGCCAAAAGGTCAGAGAAAAATTAACTACTTAATAGTTTCTAAAGATAGGTATATTTCAGGCTTGGTCTAAGGGCAACAAACAATGTGCAGATGTGTATCTTGCCTCTGAACCGACCTTATTAATCTTGTGAACAATCCCTGTGCAAAGTTGGAGTATGCAGGACCAGCACTCTTCACAACATCACACTGATTAAACTGGAGATTTAGAACTGACACCAGTGATGTTTGACTTTCAGTTTGGTAATCCCTAACTACCAGCTCTGCAATTGCAAAGATGGCCACAGAGGTAAACCAAGTTGACTTCAATTTTTTTTACCACCATATCTCCAACACAGACTTCCAAAGTCATGTCAAAACTCAGAGAGGCCCAACCAGTCACTTAGCTCTAGGTGACCTAAGCTATCATCAGCTATTTAGAGAATGATGCCAATGATAACCTAGAATCTCTACTCTCACAGAGAACATAGGAATAGAAATCCACAAACACATACTTGATAACCAGATAAGATACTTGATTCTGAATGTTCATCTGCTCAATGAGAGGCCACTACTTCTTTTCAAATAAAAAAAATGTAACCAAGTACATGGTAAGAAAAGATTTTTAATTCTTTAGCTTCATTAATTTGAAAATGAGATTCTGAATCTCAAAATGAATTGAAAAAAAAAGCAAATTTTCCTAGTGGGTAACAATGCTGCATCTTGTACTTTTGTGTTTTTCTCATGCAGAAGAAACAAAGCCACTGCTACCACTACTTATTTAAACAAGCATAAAATAGGCATTGGAACTGTTTATCCTAAACTGATATGTGCTTACATTCTTTTGGGGGACATTTTAAAAAAATATTTATTAACTATAACACAGCGCACGGGATTTGACATGCTGGTTGGACATTTGTTATGCTCCCCCAAAATCGCATTAGGTACAAACACCAGATTTCAAAGACCAGATTTCAGAAAATGTGTAACCTTACTCTGTATGTGACAAACCTTCCACTTGCATATACCTATACCTATACTGACTTGGATGTAGTGAAGATGAATTAAAAAACAAAAAAATATTACCTTTCTAATGCAACAATTATCTTTATAACACATAAGTCCCAAAGGCTTTCTCAGCTACTGCTTTGCCAGATTTTTTAGAATTGACTTGTCTGAGCCTGTCTGAGTACTATTTCTGACTTCTGCTTAATAGTAGTGCACACCTACAACTTCCACTTCAATTATGAAGAGAAATTGTTCCCATTTTACTTCCACTGAAAGACAGAAATAAGACTATCAACACATTTCCACATGGAATAGTTTAAATAATTCTTATTTTTGTCTTTTTTTTTTAGATCACCAAAACCAATGCAGGTTCAGGATGTTTAAACTGTCCATCAATAAATATGCTGGCGTAGGTGTGACTGTGACTCTCAGCTGCTAAAACAAGAGCCCATTAAACTTTCCTTATTGCCTGATGACCCCTCAGCTCTATTTCAAAATCCATCTGGTAACAAATGCACATCCTTCCTACAAAACATAATTGGGTGCTGTTAGCAGTGGTTATCTCTCAAGATCAGAAGCTTCAATATAGTTGCCTACAGGTCTCTCAACACTTTTCACCTTTGAGATCTTCTGGCTTTAGTTGCATCCCTTAAGCATCAGGAGCAACACTTGCTTTAACCTGTTTGTATTTTCAATTCTGCTTTGGTTCTTTCTTGCTGTCACAACAGCTCTGTAGCTTTCCATAATGTAATAAGCAATCTGCTTAACATAAGCTGCATGTAGTTTGTGCTGTCCCACCAACTTATGCTGTGAAAAACTGAAGCCAAAGAGTTTTGAATTAATGAGCTCAGTTTCTTCTCCTTTCTAAGACTGTTTGCATGTGTCTTAAAAGAAAGACTCCGAAATGAGCACTTGCTAGCTCAAGCATAGCACAAAATCACAAACAGGGATGGCAAACCCAAACATGAATAGAAGTTCAGCCATTCTCATCAGGATTCCGTCTCTTGCCACTGTCTCTTATGGTATATGCAGCATATTTCCGTGAATGACAGAGAATTTATCTTTAATAGGCGGGGTAGCAATGTCAAAGCGTGGTCGACATGGCAAAAGTTAGTAAAGGACAGCTTTGACAAAACACAGAAACTCTGCAATAAACTTATCTGCAAAGTATACCTTTGGATAGGATGCAAAGCTGCAGTGTTAAGGAGAACTCTCTTATGTTTTCAAAGAAGATGGATGTTGTGTGGTTGTTGTAACAGCCTGTCAAACCACACAGGTCTGCTTTTAGGATGATATTTTGCTCCACAGGTTCTGAGACAGCTACTGCTATGTAAATCTTGCTCCTGTTCACTCATGTTCCCAGGTCAGACAGTAACTGGCCTGATGCCTTTGCAGAATTCACTTATCTTTCTGCCTGTGTGGTTTCAGTGGAACTGTCACAAATGTAAATTAATGACTTTGAGACCTACCAAAGAAGAGTGCTACACGACACTTTAAGTACTGGGTTTATTCTAACAGTGGACTTTCCTTCATTTTCTATTACTATAACACAGAGACTTTGTAACGCTTTGCAGATACTTTTGAGTTTGGAAAAGTAGCAGAGAATTCTGGTCAGAACCATAAGGAATCCCAGGTTAAAGTGTAAAAGAAAAAGAACAATTCAAAAAAGAGACATTTTAGAAAAGTGAAAGAATAAATAATTATGGTTGTACCAAAAGACAGTTAAAAACATAAAGCAGCAGACTAAGAGTCCAGAGGGAATAGCAGTTTTATAATACTTTAAAAACTTTCTAGATTTATTCCAACAGTAGTATTTTAAATTTAGAACAGTCATTTTCTAAAGAGTGTCTAGAAAGGAGAGAATTCTCTGAAGACGTTAATGTTAATTTGTCTGACATGAAGAAATCATACAGAAGAAAATCACAGTACAGTATCTTTCACCAAGAGCTAGTAAACAGACCGGAATTTAACCTCGTCATTCTATCTTAATTTTCCCTGTCACCATGCGAATATTTTTCTTCCCACATTCTTATAAGAACACAGTGTAAAATGACAGTCATGCTGTTGCAGCCACAAAGTTTAGCTGGGCTTAAGGAACTAAGTTGTAGGTTTCTGAAGGATTTTTTTGTTTATTCCACTTTGAAGATATCATTAGTCAAGATTTCGTATCAAGACGACAGATGGTATTTCGTAAGCTTATATTTTGTTTTTAATGGTTATTTTTAACTTGTATCATTAACTTTTTCACACAACACCCCTGGGATGGATATATATTGAAACATGGCTTCACAGTGGAAGATCTAATACAGGGATGTGTTTTACTAAAGCAGGTTTGGCATGTGCAGCCCTGAGCACATTTTAAGTGAACTTGCTTTCTCCTGCCAAAAAGTGAAGAGATTAATCTCTGCCAATTTCACATGCCCAGCAGTGATGCACCTCTTGCAATCTCAGTCCTCAGCTCCAAATGAGAATGTGTGTTTCAAGACAAGTGCACTCGAATGCTCTGCTACAGGACACTACCAGAAATTAGATTAAAAAAAAATAAATTTAAGAATCACAAATGAGACTTGATTTGGTGGCTGTTCCTGAACACAGAGGCCCAATGACAAGGAAGATCCAGGCCTAGCCTCATAAAAAAAAGCTTCCCGAGTAAACTGGCTGTCTCTTAACCATCAACTGGGACATCTCCCTAGTATGACCAAGTGCCAACACTTGTCCAAAGGCTGCCTAGACCAAATTTCTGCTATGGGTCTGTATGACAGCATGAAAAGTGATTGTGTTATGGTGTCTGGAAATGTTCCTGGGGATATGTCCCTACTTATTGGCATACTGTATGCAGCTTAAGGGGACCTTTGTAAGTCATCAGCAATTAAAACAGACACCTGGCAACAGTACGTAGGTAGGTCTGACAGCAAGCGGGCACTCAAGTCCTGCTGCCATGAAACCAGGCAGGCACTTCAGATGCCAGACTTGACTCATATGTATCACTTCTGAAATTGAGACACAGGCTCCATGTCCCTACAAAGAACGAATTTCACACATTTGTTTGCAAGGGCAGCAGAAAACATGGGAGTCGCAGGTGCAGACAGCACGGGAAGATAGCGACTAATTGCTCTGACCAGATTATTCTGCATCCCACACCACACCATTCCACGCCCCACCACACAGCCCTACACTCCTTGTCGCGGAACCCCCTCGAACAACGCAGAGAGCCACATTCCCACACCACGCACAGCACAGCGCAGCGCGCCGTACACCCCACGCGCTACCGCGACCCGCGTCGCCGCGCCTTCCCTCGATGCCGAGACCTCGCCCTGCCACTGCGCACCCCGCACCGCACCGGCGCTGCGCCTCCCAGCGCACCGCGGCAGCGCATCCCCCGCGCCGCGGAGCCGCGCACCCCGCGCAGCGCCCGCCCGCCGCCCCGTCTCACCGCCGCCTGCTGGAAGGCGCCCTTGGTGTAGGTGCCGCCGCCGCGGTAGGCGATGGCGGGGATCTCGCGTCCCAGCAGGGCGCACTTGTGCTGCTGCGGCCGCCGCCGCGAGATGTAGTCCACGCGTGGCACCACGTTGCTGCGCGAGGAGAAGGTGACGATGGCGACGCGCGTGGCCGCGGGCACCACGGGGAAGTCGGAGAGCAGCTTCTTGACGAAGCGCAGCTCGCTGAGGAAGTTGGCCGAACCCACGCTCGACGACTCGTCCACCAGGAACACCAGCTCCAGCCGCCCGCTGCGCGCCCGCAGACGCCGCACCTGGCGCTTGAAGGCGCGCCCCAGCTTCTCCACTTTGCTCTCCGTCGTGTCGGGCAGCGGCGGCGCCTCCAGCGATGGCGACGCGAAAGTTGGGGCGCGGAGGAGGACGCCCGGCTGGCTGCCCGGCTGGCTGCCCGCCCGGCCCTGCGGCGCCGACGGCGACAGGGACAGCGACAGTCCCCCCCAGCAGCACAGAGCCACCAGGGGCCACATGGCGTGGCGGCGGGCGCGGGAGGCGCCGGCAGCTGCGGGAGAAGAGCTGCTGGTGGCCCCCTGACGCCCCACCTCTTCCCTACTCGGAGCCGCGTCCGGCCTGCCTCTCTGTCTCCCCACCGGCCTCCCCGCAGGTATCTGCGCTCTTTAATCCCCCGCGGCTGAGGCGCTGCCCCTCGCACGCCCCTCTCTCCGTTTTCCCCTCCTCGCCTTTCGGCAACGTTCTCCCCCCGTCCCTCCCCGCCTCCCGCCGCCCCGTCCCGCCCCGATGGGTCCCACTCGGCTGGCGGGGGCCAGCCCGACAGCGGGGCGGGTGGCGGTCGCTGGAAACGCGCCGAGCAGAAGTGAAGGGGGTCGGAAAGGCAGGACCCCCCGAAAAGTGAGGAGAGCCTTTTCCGCTCCCTCGCCGCACGGGTTGGAGCTGCTACTCGCGGGAACGGAGTGAGGGCTTACACTGACACGTGCTAAATTAATCGTGGTTAATTTAGCCCTTTGTTTTGCAGGGAGGATGCGCTTGCGGGTGGGAGGTTTGAAGGGTCCATATGCTCTGGTCTCGCTCCTGGCTCTGTCACAGTCTCCCTCTCTCGTTCAAGGGCACACTTCAGCAGCCTGAGGACTCAGTTTTTCAACTTTCAAGAGGTAGCAATACTTTATTTATGTACATCTCACATCACACAGCGAGGTGTCCAGATACGTGGCGTGAGTGTCCACAAGGGTGTGTGAATAAAAGACAGGGATAGCACTTGCATATGTACATCAATGTGTGTTTGCAAACAATATACACTCATGTAGCAACAGTGACAATAAGCTGTGCATGTTATGAAAAATTCCTGGTTGCTAACTGTGACATTAGAAGCCATTTCTACAAAGAGGTCCTGTGCTGTCTTGATGTCTGTGAATCACTTTAGGAGAGAGATACACTCACGAAGAGGCCTCCTGCCAAATTCAGAACCCACTACCTTTCAACCAATCTCAGTACAGATTTAATTCTCAAGAATATTATGAGTCGAGAACTTGGGTTTATTTTAGCCATTGGTTTCAAATTAAACAGTTTTCTCCTTAATCAACTGCATTTCCAGGAGTAACTTACTCTTCAAAAAATTTCCCTGGGACAGATTAGCCGTGTAAACCTGTTGATTGCAACTTTTGGCATTTTGTTGATATTTTCCTTCTTTTGCACATTTTCTACTCCTCTTGAGTTTGCTGCTGTTGATATATCACTGTGCAATGAATGGAATACACACTATATTGGTATGTTTGCAAGTTCAGCCCCACATTTACATTTGGTTGAATTACACATTTCTTACACATTGAGGCTCTTAGCTGGTAGAAAATTGATCTGGTACTGTCCTTTTGACTTCCCAGCAATACTCAAATTTCACTACAAATGACAAGAGACTAAGTAACAGAAAACATTACTTAATTAGGAAAATAATGCATCTGCTATACACATCCAACATGTTTTTACATATTTTACATTTATGGAATAGTGCAAGTCCTTCACAAAAATCTGCAACTCGGTGCTTGAAGAGAATATAGAAATATTACAGAGGCATCTTACAGAGGCATATGTGGAGAACAGTTCTGGTACTGAAGGATGTGCTATGTGATGGACTGATCATTTTCTGTTCAGGTTATAGTGAAATGAAACAGACAACATCATACTTGGGTTACTATGAGACCTTTTTGTCATGAAAGGGTAGCTGAAAATTGCTACAACCACTGAAGTCCTCAGCAATTGGTCTTTAGAAGATTAAAGAAATTATGCCCTAACTGCATCACTGTGGTCACACCATACCACTAGTATACCTAGTCTTATCATCTATATTGCATTAGGCTGTAAGACTGTGTTGGTGTTAGCACAAACCAGAATAAAAGAATGGAGAAGTATAGGCAAGATGAGTCTGGTATCTCAAGGTGCTCCTAACCAAAGAGGATTATTGCAGTTACGATGTTCTGCTATTACTCCTGAGTTTTCAAATCATAAAAAGTACTTTAGTCTGGGTTAGCTTGTTGGAAAGCTAACTGTCTCACCCATATTTACATAATCCCAGATTCATATTTATAAATGCCACACATTTTAGGGCTCAGAAGCAGAGAAAAAGACGATGTACTGAAAACACTTTTAGCAAAGGAAGAACAATTCATGTCAATGGCCAGTTGCCAGTGTGCAATCAGGTATGACTAATGGTGAAAACACAGTAGTTAGTTTCAGTCTTGGTGATCTCATCAGAATTAGGAATGCAAAAAATAACAAGGCAGTTCTAAATTAATCCTTGATTCACGTACAATCTGCAAAAGCATGTATTTTCTTAAGTCACACAGGCCCTCCAGTCGTGCTGCACAGAAGCTCTTACTGGTTTAACAAAAATAAACATGTGTACAGGGCTGCAGAGTGAACTCATCAATGCAAGATGTAAATATGTCTATCACACAGGGCGTTTGCAATAGTAGAGGAATAAAGAAGTGAACAGCTAAACTTTGACTATGGATGCAAGACTGAGACACTAGCATAGTACCAATGTGAAACAAAAACCAGGAGAATTTGAATGGTGAGGGGAATTATCAGTCTATGGATAATTAGTGTGCAAAAGGTTTTGAAAAGAATCAGTGGCCTATATTTAGTGAATAATTCTCCTAATATATTTTCCCTGTATATAACACAGGTACCTCTCTTTACATTCATTGACTTTCAATCTATTTGTGCAGAGAGGAGGCACTAAAACATTACAAGATATTGAAAAGTTAGCATCAGAATCTGTAGTAAAGGAAATCTAATGGTATGAGGGAAAGAGTGAGGGCGGGCAAAGAATTAACTGTGCTTCTGATATGATTTAACAAACACTAGAATAATTTCTGGAATAAACTGAAAATTAAAAGCTTGAACTCAGCATGCAAAATCCTCAAGAAGGTATTTTATCCATGAGGCTGTACTTGCAAAAGAAAGAGTTGTCTTGCAGATGGTGAAGGTCATGTATGTATGTGTAAACAGCAAGCATTCTGTTCACTATCTGTTCACTAAGCTTTTTTGAAAGCAACATTTCCAGGGAAAAGCTCTGTTGTAATGAAATTGCCTTCTCCAAACCTGCCTGCCAGCTTTTTACAAATCCTTTCCATGTTGGGTTGCTTAAGCCCTCTTCTTTTGATGGTCTTTTCCCTGTTGTATTCATGCATATTATTTGTGCTTTGGTTCATACTGATCTGTAGCAGATGGAGAGGTGGAGAGCAGAAGGAGTTTTTTCCCACTTTAAGTGTCCCTGAAGGTCAAAATATCTGCCCTGGGTTTCATTACTGGAAAAGAAAATGCAGGTTTAATGTGGCTTCTGATTACATGGTACTTAAGAAGGTGGTGCTGGACTGTGACTCTATTCCATTACAAAACAGCAGGTAATAATAATAAAAAAAAAATTAGATCTTGTGAATAAACTGTCTTTGTCATGTGACAGAAGAGGGCTGACTGGTCCTGAAAAGAAAAGCTTAAAAGCAGCGCTTCAGCTGCTTTTACGATCAGATTACTGTATCTCTTTAATTGCCTTATTAAAATCCACAGACTTGGTGAATTCCAGTAATTCTTTACTGTCTCCTCACAAGATCATATGGTCATTTAACACCACTCTGATTACTAAACAAAAGGGAAATCTTTACCCCCAGTTAAAAACCCTTCTGCAAACAAACAGTCTGAGGATTGCTGTCCTTTAGCCAAATAGCTTTTTGCTTGAATTACTCAATGAAACATGGCCAAGCATCTTTCCAAATATGGAGAAGAAAAGCATTGTGTTCCCCCCCTTCATGTTCCCCAAATACAGCTGGACAGAGCACATCCTTGCACTCAGCCCACACAGTATTTGTGCCTGCAGAGACAGCACCACAATATCACATACCCTACAATTTTTGAGGGAATGCAGGTCATTTTTGTTTTTACAGTAAGGATGTTCTGCTAGCAGCTTTGTGCCACAGTGGAAATCCAGCTGCAACTGAAATGTTAGGTCTTCTGCAGGAATTTTACAACATTCTAGATTTTAGCTAAACTAGAGATAAAATGACAGCTCAACACAAATCGGAACCTGATGTTAGTTAAGCTTGTTTTAAGACTCTCTTTGTGCTCAAGCACGCAGTGCCCATCTGAGGAAACCTAACACAATATGTAGCTAGCAGAGCTAGTCTTTTTTTCTTCCCTTTAACCTTTGCCAGGGTACAGGATTACTCTGCTATCCACTTCCTTTTGCAGGTGTCAGGCAGTATTTCAGCAGGGGGTGTTTAAGGAACTGTATGAGGAGGAAAGCTTTCAAGAATAGCATTTTCAGAGTAGGGGTAAAAATACTTTCAATCTCAGAAAATGATCTCTGAAATCTGCCACCAGGGAGACATTAATACAGTATGAGAGTAGTGCCAGGCCCTGGTAGGTTATATCCAACTTTCATAGTTCAAATGAAAGCAGCAGAGCTGGTCTAGGAAAGGGGGAGAAAGAAAGGGCTTTGGGAAGTTACTTTATCCTCTTTCTTCCTGTGCCCTTTAGGAGAAAGGACACGTCCAGCTCCTGAGTCCTGGGATGTGTGTCTTCTGCTCTTGGCTGAGAAGCTGCACCTCCCAGTGCTGCAGTGCCTTACCTGCTTGTAGCTTCATTCATTGCCCCCAGACTGTAGCAAAGATCAAGCACGACTGCAGTCTTGCTGCAAAGCAGGGCCTGCTCTTGGAAGCTCCCTATGTTAGAATGCATTGGTGGAACATGCTGTCTCAGCCCTTTCTGACAGTTAAAATTTTAAATTTTTTTTTAGTGGTAATAGTGGAAGGACAGTGGAGGAGAGCATTATACAGGACGTATTGTGCATTCAGTACTGAGGAGCCAAAGCTAGGCTATCAGGATCTTAGTCATAAAGTCTGAGTTGATTTTTTGGCCACTTTAGGCCTCAGTCGTAAACAGAACATATGAAAGAAACAAAGAATTTTCTATAAATATAAGAATATTCTCGAGAAGGCAGAATAAAAGGAGATTAAGCTCTTAAATTATCACTTTTTTATCATTAAAAGTTAGGAGACATACTTTACAATCTTTTAAAATACCAGTAATTCACTGGCTGTAATTATTTTAAGATAAATTTTCCAGGGCTAGAAACTTGAAGTCCAGACTTCCCACATAAATACTGTTTAAACACACACAAATTGAAGATAGTAATTTTTTATTTACACACACACAAATCCCATTGACACCTCTGGGAGTTCTGACACAGACTGAAGAGAATACATAGTACTTGAATGAGAGCAAAATATCTGTCCAGATGACTTTGGAAAAAGATTATAATGTAGGAGGAGAAGTGTCAGTCTGCCAAAAGTTGCTCCTTTCAGGCAGAGGTTTGTGCGGTTTAGTCTTCAGCAGAGCAAATAAGCATTTGTAGGAGCCAAATAATGGGTTATTAGTTCAAGCTATAAAAAAGAAAAAACAAGATTTGTATTGCTTCTCAGTATTCAGACAATGATGAAGTTTAGTTATAAGAATTTGTTTTCACTGGTGGACAAGCCCAATACACAATAAGGATATCATATGGCTAGCTTCCAAGATGAAAAAAATGTAGGCAAAATCAAAACATCTGCTGGTCTCTGTTTGCACAGCAGATGTTCACTACACTTCCAAGTTAAGATCTTCAGAATTCATGAAGCATACTTTATCCATAAGCACACAGTCAGTCTGTCTTTGGCCTATAACATTCCTATGAAACTGAGTACATTTTGCCATATTCTACACCCTGAAGTATGTGCTGTATGATTTTTGAAAGATCCAGGCAAACACTGAATGTGAAAAAACCATGGAAGGCACCTTTGATCATATTCTAGGTAACCTGAGATTCTGAAAACGCCAGTGGGGCAGGACAAAGATATAGACAGTCTGTAGGGTGAAGCTTGTTTATGGCATTTTTTGATCCTGAATGAGTTGATACAATTGAAAAATAGGCTTGGTAGGCAACTATTCCAAGTTGCTTTTTCAAAACTTGCTGTGTATTTTAGCCTTGAAGTACAAATGCCCTGTCAGTCTTTCACTCTGCTAACTTACAGCATGGAGGTACTGCTGATTGTGCATGTTTCTTTCTCAAGATGTTTTGCACTAACTGATCAGAGTGGTGTTCTGGGATAATGAGGGTAAATTTCTAAACTCTCTTTGCTATGTCAAACAGGCTCCAAAGCATCCAAGAAGTGGCCTTCACAAACATGACTGGAAACTACTTTTCTGAATGAGTTGTGCAATTTCATAATTTCCGGAGGTAATGAAGTTTTAAGGAGTAAGAGGAAGAAGGTTGGGGCATGTAGAGCAGTTCTTCCCAATTGCAACTGAAACTCACAAGCAGGAGAAGTGTGATTTTTCTCTGTGGTTAAAGAAAGGACTCCCATTTCGAGGCATACAGCTACCTTATTAAAATTCACACAACTTCTAGTATTGCATATGAATATGAAGTATTTTGGATGTGCATTTATGTTACTATGATGAAAATGCTGCTCTCAGACAAGAAATTATCTACAGCTTGGTGGAGACAGTTGGAAAGAGGTGTGATGGTGTCCTGGTTGGAGAGTTGTGAGTGCCTTTGCCTGGGGAAGTTATGTGGATGTGGATGTGGATGGCCTACGCACGTCATCATGGTTTTGTTCCTGGTGATGAACACCTTTTTGTGGATATAACACCTTCTCTTCTTGTATACTTTTGCTGTTGTTATGGCGCATGTCTTATTTCACTCTTTTGTGCTTTCTATAAATCATTACCTCAACCCATTGTCTCTGCTTTTGTTCCTCTCTTTACCAGAAGGTGTAGGGGAAAGGAGACTGCTTTACTTGGGGTTTAATTTCCAGCTAGTGTTAAAAACAACACAGAAAAGGGAATAGGATAATTAATACATTATGAGGAAAAGCAGAGGTGATGAACAGAGAGAGACTTCACTATCATTTCTAATTAAAAAATTATATGGTATTAAATGAATATGTTGGGACGTCTCTTAAAAGGAATGCTTCACACACCAGTGTAGTCAAGCACTTGAACTCTGAGCTATATAGTAATTCAGAGGACACCTCAACATTTTTGTGCAGAAAAACTGTGGAATTAAAATCCTCTCAGCACCAGTGTTCTCCAACAAAGTACACATATTTCTCTTCCAACTCTGAAAATATGAAGCAGTGTACCCCAGATTTTAAAAGACTATTAACTATACTTGCCTATCGTTAAACTGTTTCCTAGATTATGTTAGTCAAAAGACTTGCACATAAACAGATCCTTATTCTAGTCTGATATGGCTCATAATATATTCATACAACATCACTCTCCCTCTGTATGAGTTTTATGCATATTAACCACAATATTATTTTGAAATGAAGCCAACCCAGGACTGAAGACATGAGAAATTGAAGTGCTTTCAGAATTACTGTGGTACACATCTAGGACAAAGAGCTCTTAACAACCACAGTGCCATGAAAAAGAGAACATACAAGGTTGGAGAAAGAATATACTCTTTTTCTCTTACAGAAAGAAATGTGAGTCCTTTAGCTAACTTCAGGGGCAGCAGTAATAATTAACTTTGAGCTCAGGATGGGAGCAGACAAAAACTGAAATGAAAGCTAGATGAGCAGAAAAGCCCAGTTACCTGTTTTACACATTAATGAGGGCAGCACTGGAGCATCCCAGCCAAAAGTCATGTCACAATAGTGGGGCAGCTGGAAGAGAGTCAGCCTCCATCTTGTACTCTTCTAGACATCTGCTGCATCTTTTATGCCCTAACAGCAGGTACGCTCAGCACCCCAAGAGCTTACAAACCCTTATTTGAAGTCACTCACACAACCATGCCATGTCCCTTTTGTCAGCCTATCAGAAGTTAAAGCAAACAGAAAGGAGGACATGCTGTGTTTTGCATTTGGCTCACTCTCCTACTTAAAATCACACTAAAGGTCTATGTGTTTGCAGCAGTTAAACTAAAAAAGTGTTTGGAGTAAGCTTAAGATGTCTTTAAGCAGTCTGACCTGTTTGGTTCATGTGAGTTTTTTATTTTCTGGTTGAAGGGACAATCAGGTTATAGCCTTTTATTGTTAACAGTCCAAAGTGTCTCCTTTCCTGCCTGGTTAATGAAGGCAGGAATACTAAGATACTAGATAATACTAAGATTTCAGTAAAACAAAAATAAACATCATGAACTCAAACTGAGACTCAGTGTTCTGGGTCTAATTCTTCCATGCATATTCACGCATAGTTCATGTTTATTACTGATGGAAATTTTGTCAAAGTAAGTCTAAGAAAGACACCTAAATTTGGATGGATTTTGGAAATCAGTGAAACCAATGGAGACATGGCAGTTGACATAATTTCAGAATCCCAGATTTGAATCTGAAACTTATCATTTAAATATCATACCTGTATTCTCTTGTATTGCCTTTTTGTCTTCATGCTTGAATGTCCATGTAAGTGATGGCCCTAAGTCTGTCTGTCTGGTGCAAGGAGACACATCAGTATGATGGGCTCTATGCTTAGTGTACTCCCCTGTCTGTACAGAAATCATGTCTGGAACCGTATCTTGCTATTTACCTTTTCCATGGTCTTGTATTTTGTCTACTTGTCACAAAGATTTTCTGTGCATGTGTCAGGAGATTAGTATTGCATGACTAAAAAGGAGATAGATGAATCTAGTTCAGTCAACATATGCTCTCACTTCCATTATTTTTGATATTTGCCATTAGATGAACTTTCTCAGCACATAAAACATGATCCTCAAATGAAATAAAATAATGATTATTATAGGAAAGGCAATCAATAAAGTTAGTTGCTATCTCTTTGAAAAGGGTATGGTAGAAGATGATTTGTACAGTCTCTTGTTAATGGACAGCTAGTAACAAAAACTCACATACTACTTTGAAAAAATTGCTGTGTGTGTCAGTACTATCACTATTCATAAAAATATATTGGGGAAAAAGATGTAGAATATATTTCTTGGAATAAATTTATTGTATGCTGTATAAAACCTATTTCTGTCATAAACAGTAATGCATTATTTTTTTCCCCTCTTAAATTACCTGAGGTGTGCAAAAATTAAGTAATGATGAAAAGTCATATCTAATCAAGATAGGGGGTACTACTCTTTTGTTTTATAAAGTTATTCTACTTATATGTACCTTTGTACTCTCTTCTTGTTCCAGGCACAGTTAACTGAAACTGTATTTTAAAGCAATTGTATTCCATGGTTTCAGTGCCATGTTTACTGAAGACTTTATTATTCAATTGCTGGTTTACTTTGCATTAGACAGCAAGTTTTGAGATAGATTTGGTCTAAGGATCTCCGTTCTGTTGCTGTGATGTAGTCTTTATCATCAGTGAATAAACAGTCTGTCCCTATAGTGAGTGTTGTGGGCAAGGAAAGAGATCCCCAGGGAGGGAACAGCTTTGACTGAAGGTAGCTAAGCAGAGAGGACTTCATTCTGCTTCAGCAGAATCTCATCCTAAGACATGGCAGGTTACAGAGCTGTTATCACCACCCTGCTCTTAATAGTGCTGCATGACCAAGATCAGCTTCAATTACAATCTACTTCTTCTTGCAATGTTGCAGTCTCCGTCATCAGGGATGTTACAACCCCATTTTCTAGGTGAGTAATGATACCTTGGTGGGTCCTGGTATACCTGTCATAGCTTATGGACCTCTAAGAGAATCAGAGTTGTCTCAGATCAAGTCTCTTAAGATATATGAGTTGAAGCTTTAACCACAGGTGTTCACCAGAAACGTGGGCTGGAATCGTCTTACAGCAGTGTGGAGAACTTATCTTACAGGATATAAATAATACCTACTCAGATGCAGGAAGGGAAATTCCAGGGCTTATTAGTAGTAGCCATTAAGTAGGAACTGAACATCCTGGATCATGAATTGTATGTGGAAGTATTTGAGCTTTGTTTTCCTTTTTGTTTCCTGCCTATTGGTAGTTTCAGTTCTCCTTCCAAGCTTTGCATTTGCATTTTCCTTCCTCATCATTTGACTGTACACACAAATCATACACTCTTGATTTTACCCCCTCTTTTAAACATATCAGTGCAGTACCATGATATCAGGATTCAGTAAACAGGTTAGGTATCCAAATACAGAGGGCACTTGTGCAGGCTTCTATACTGATTTTAAATTCTAATTTTAAATTTAAATTTGAGTAGACTCAGACTGTGATGATATATACACCACAAGAAAAGGGGGACAATTTCTGTTCATATATTTAGGATAACATTATTTCCACAATGAACTGACTAAAATGTCTTCTTAGATACAATCCCTAAAAGGGATACAATCCGTAAAAAATCCCTTGACATCAGAAGTGTCATAAGAAAACATAACTGGTTTGAATACTCCCTATGTAAATGAAAGCAACTGCTTATTTCACCCCAGTTTAAATAGTCTTTTAGACTCAAAGCTTCTTGCTTATAAACATCAATTTTCCTATTTATTTACAATTGATTACACACACTTGCAAAATCATTCCACATGGAATTCTCTTTTTTATTCTTCAGAAGTACAAGAATTGCTTTTTTTTTTTTTTTTTTTTTTTTTTTTTTTTTTTTTTTTTTTTTTTTTTTTTTTTTTTTTTTTTTTTTTTTTTTTTTTTTTTTTTTTTTTTTGTGCATGTGCAAGTGTCAGCCCATGGGTTACACTTGTTCAATAAAGCTTGTTACGTATTTACAGGTTGCATCATATAACATAATTTCAAAGGGAAAGAGTAAGATATTTGTAAGCAATTTTATTACTTAATAACAGTAATGGGAGCCTTCGTTGTTAGTATCTCAAGAATAGACAAGCTCCCAAGGACCATGGACAAGTGACTGTCCCTGCCCTTCCAGATAAGGACCATATGTCAACTCTTTAAGAACATTGTAGATACCCCTAACAACTAGCCGTTTATGTAAACTAAGCACCTTAAAACACACCAGCTTCTCTGGGACCCAATCATAAAATGATTATTTTTGCTGTGGGTAAGATCACCTTTCTCCTCCTCTTCTATGTGCTAGACTATGCTTGCAGAAGCTTGCTTTCTTCTCTCTAGTCGCTGTGGATGAGGATTTTAGTGTCTTTCATGTAGACATGGTGGTTTGGATAAGAAAATGTGGAACAAATCTTATTTACTTAAAATTAGAGGGATGAAGAAACAGCAGAGAGATTTCCAAATGTATTTCCAGACCTCTTACCACAACCACTGAAAAAAGGGTAATTTTTTTCCCCAGTAGAGATTTAGTATAATTTAATTGATAAGCCCTTCAAGAACTATAGAAGGTCAAAGTGTTTTGTTCCTTCTAAGAATTGTTCAGTTTCCCTGACCAGGAATTTTGCAGATGTTCATGTTCCACTTGCAAAAATAAATTGATTAGGAGTGTAATATTATTGTATTTTTTTTTAAATGTAAGAGAAAGGACTAAAGTATATCACAAATCTGTATTGTTTATTACAGGTTGGAAATACTTTAATGTTAAAAAATGCATAAAGTACATCCACATGATTTTTTAAAGGTTTCTTTTATTTGTTGTTTTATATGTTTAGACAAGAGGGAAGAGAAAGCCTAATGGTGCATGAACTCTAAACCTGAATTTTACTACTGTGGTATCCTTAAAAAAGTAAATAGCTATGATACTGAAAACTGTTCTTACACTCCCATAGATTTATGATCAACAAAATTCTCGATTTTTCTTCTGTCTTTTGTTTTGTCCCATGCAATCTCAAGTTCATAGCTGCAGGAGTTGCCAGCAGGCCTACCAAAAGTCATAAAAA